TTGGAGAAGGGAGGTGAAAAGGGGTGGGGGGAAGAAGTCCCATATTGGACAAATAGTCTGGGGTTGGAAGGTATATAAGAATCCACCTCACCTATTAGTTTGCACCTTAGGGGCACTCCACTTTTGTAGAGGAGAGAGGATGCAAGTGCATCTTGGTCCACCACACATGCGCGCGTCGCCGTCGTTCGGCTCGGCACGACAAATAGTTGGACATTTCAACTATTTGTTGCTTCCTTCCAAAATTTGTCAAACCGACCTGTTTCTTCCCGCCGAATCAGTTCTTCTTTTTCATTTTCGATTTTGAACCGAACGCCGAATCAGTTCTTCTTTTTCATTTTCGATTTTGAACCGAACCGGGAAAATTGGTCGTAATTGTTCGCCGCCGTCAGTCACGACGATTCATCGTGGCTTTTCAGTGTCTATATAAAGACATTAACACCAATAGAAATTCATTCCAACAATTTTGCATCATTAATCTGCTAAATTTTTTTGGCACTGTGCATGCATTCTGCATCCATATAGTACTAGATAGTGTGATTCCTCATACATTCAGTTGTGTTCGTTTAGGCTCCTAATTGGTAGTGCCATCAATCCGGAGACGAAAAATTTGTTCTAGCCTGAAAGACAATTGTTCATGAACCTTTGATATCAGTGTAGAAGGAATAAATTGTCTTAAAGAGACAACAATGTTAGGCTCGGATTACTCTAGATACTGGCATATCACTTTTCCATTGATAGAGTTAGTCCATTCTTAAATTTTTAATTGCACTAATTACTATTTTTGGTATTATACACATATTCAAATCTATAGATAAATTTTCACCCAATGTCTTTTACCACATGAACAATAGAAAATAAACAAACTTCTATATTCTTCAAGTGTTGATAAATTTTCGTAATTTAGTGTTTATAAAAAAATAATTCTTTACGTCCTTATAATTTTACTAAATTGTTAAATAAGTTTTTATTTGTTAAAGTAGAGGGACCTATTAATTCAAAAACTTACATAAAATATAAGGACTTATTCAATAGTGCTATCTATCAAATTGATCTCTACAATTTATTTAAGATTTCAAATAAGCTCTCTAACGTAATAAAAGTTAACATAGTTTATAGGTAAAAAATAGAAGTATAACCCGTTAACATTTAACCTTAAAAAATGTCAAGGTTTTAAATTGAGGTTATATTGTACTTGTTAGGTTGATACCAAGTGTCGGAGCCGACCCGAAAATTTAGGTGGTGCCAAAAAATTTGACATATCAAATTATCAAAATATTTATCATAATTACACAAATTTATTAGGAAAAAAACTTATGAATTCTAACATAGTTATGTGAATTATGTATTAAATAATGTCATATAATATTAAAAATTCAAATGAACAATTGTCGTTGATTATATATCAAAGCAAAAAAATGTACTAACATTTTCGGTAAATATTTCAAACATAAGAATTTCACTTTCCTCCCACAATTTAATAAGTAATGAACTAAACATTATCCTAAGGATATGAAAACATACAAATATAATAACTATATGTATAATAAGCATTGTCCTTCGTCTCCTCTTTCATTATCTCTATTCCTTAAATTTTCAATATCTCATGTTAGAGAACATCACACTTGTTTGCAACAGTCATAAGCACGATGGAAAGTTCTCACATTTGGGAATTAGATTTTTGACTATCCTTTGTGTGTGCAATAATCCTAAACACAATAGTTCAATGGACCTTCATATTCCATAATTATAGTTTTGTTATTCATTTGGTTTCGTGATTGTTACTTTCAAAGGGTTAAGTGTTTGGTTTTTTAAAGGATACAAATTGTGTCCTTGTAGTTTTTAACACTATATCTTACTGGTAAGACATAGTTATAACATGAAAAGTTATTTATTCTCTCACTCTTCACGTCAGCTGAAGTGACTGAGGAAATAAAAAAAAAGTAATTTTTTATATTAAAACTATGTTTTACCGGAAAGATATATTTAGTGTCAAAAATTAAAAGGATACAACCTTGTGTCCTTTAAAAGGACAAATCATTTTTCCTACTTTTAAATGAGTTTATTTGGTTTAGTTGAGCCCAAATTTTGAAATAGATCAACTAATCATTTTTGTGATTAAATTTAGAAGTCTTTCTTTTTTAAAATAATAGGAGTAAGAATAAATAACATAATAGAATAAAGTAGGAAAAAAATAAATATACAGGATAAAAAATAAAAAAAGATAAAATACAAAAATAATCATACTATACATATTCCGTATTATTTGTTTGCATTTAGATGATTTATTGTTACTTTGTATTGAGTATTTGATTTTTTATTTAAGTAATGTCAAATTATAATTTTTATCTTAGTTATTTATAATTAATTATATAATAAGTAAAAAAACAAAAACAAACAAGCGCCAAGGCACCGGTTGACTTGCATGTGGCTACATCACTAGTTGATACCAGCTAACGCGATCCCTAATCACAAATGTTTTCGGTGATAAAGATGGGTGTAATATGTTAATGTAAGTCAATTATTTATGTAGAGATATAAAATGGAGAGTAACTGTGGCTAGAGTCTTAATTAGGCAAAAACTGAGAATCAAGGCGAAGGTATTGGACACGGTCGTGGTGACTTTATGTGGAGTGAATTCAATAGCATAATAGCTCTGTAATAAGTGTGTAACAGGTGTCTAGCTCCTCTATGGTTGCAAGTGGTTTATATATAGGTGGAAAAGATTCACCAATAATGAGCAAAAGAACGAGCCATAATCATTTTGTCCTTGTAAACCATACTAGCTGTGATACACTTACTTAATTCAGGGTGTGTTTGGTACAAAAGAAATTTTTTGGTATCCGAGAATCATGATTACTGGGAATATACTAGAAATTGAGTTTACTTGAAATATTACGAAAAAGGTGTTTGGTTCACCAAAATATTACCGGGAATATGGCTTTTCACCCTTTTGTCCCTTATTAATTAATTAATAACCATTTTGTTCCTGATTCGAAACTATCTATCAATCTGCCCCTCTTTAATCGACTACCTTGCATTTTTAATCGACTAAATGGCCAAAATAGGCAAAAATGGCTGTTAGGAGATTTAATCGACTAAATCTCCCTATTTAGTCGACTAAATCTCCCTATTTAGTCGACTAAATCTCCCAACAGACAACAAAGGAAAACAAGTCAGTATGATTTTTTAATCGATTAAGTAGGGAGATTTAGTCGATTAAATCTCCCAACAACCATTTAGTCGATTAAAAATGCAAGGTAGTCGATTAAAGAGGGGCAGATTGATAGATAGTTTCGAATCAGGGACAAAATGGTTATTAATTAATTAATGAGGGGTAAAATGGTCAAATAGCCCCGGGAATATTGGGTAAAGATTACTGATTCTATGTTTAGTTTAGAACGAAATATGACTTGGAATATGAGGTTATTTTACAAAAATAACCCCAAACTATTTTTACTTTTGTAATTGATAGATTGGGTCTAGGTTTTGATGTGTATTGCATTATTTTTGTCTCAAAAATTGTTGTTGTGCTTTTCCTTTACTTGGAGTTCTGAATTACTATATTATTTTTGGTAATCTGAATAGTGACTTTTCTTTGTAAATCAAATTACTTGTAAACCTTTGATATCCGGGAACTGATTTTTGTTACTTCTACCAAATATGGTAATTGACGTTTACCAAAGAAGGTTTACCAGTAATCTTTTTGATACCCTTGTACCAAACACACCGAGGTGTGAGATGTGTTATGCAGAAAAGTGAAATTCTTTGGAACAAAAATCTAATTAAGGGAAGAAATTTTTTTTTTCCGAAAATCATGATTATAAAAAATATGATGGGAAGGTGAATTTCTCCGGAATATGACCACAAAATTATTTAATAGACAAAAATATTATTGAGAATATTGATTCAAGTTTATTAATTCTATATTTGATTAATTGTTAAATATTATTGTGAATGCCAAACTTTTCCAATATCGGAGATTCCAAAAATATCACTCCCCTGGTGATTTTCTTGAATGTCATTTTAATTACTATACAATTTGTTCACAAATCAAAAATTTTCCTAGAAAAATCAGATTTTTTTTTAAAAAATTATTATTATTTTTACCAAATATGAGTAATTAATGAAATTCGCAATACCAATTTCCCGGAAATTAAAAAAAAAATCTTTATATCAAACGCTCCTAAAATATCACTTTAGCGATATAGGGATATTATCTCTCGTACGTATGAGCTTAATGGTCGATCCACTGAACGGGGCTAATGTGACCGGTCCCTAACAATTGTCATGCTAATTTGTAATTGAAAACTCTAAAATATATTATTTGGAAGCACTCTCACATAAAGCACTTTTATATTTGATAGAAGAAATATTTTTTTTTTATTTACAAAAAAAAAAGAAATATTTTTTTTATTGAATTTTTTTTTTTCGGAAATATGGTGGGAATTTTTTTTTCTCGGGTAAGTTAGGAGAAGGTGTTTGATAGGTCAAATTTTTTTCGAGAATGTTAGATTAATTTTATTGATGCTATGTTTGGTTGATTGTAAAATATTGATGAGAATCTGAATCAAAATGACAAAATTACCCATTATTGATTATAAAAAATTTCCTACCTCACTTTCCATTCATTTCAACTAAATTTTTTTTATACCATACACCTCTTGTTAAAATATATTCTGTGTCTTCAGTCTCAAAGTTGAGAGATGTGGGGGCATGTAAAATTGCTTGCAGCATTTTTCTTGTAAAAAGGATGGCACGTAACGTCACAGCCCCACCCTTGTGGTCCTTGCTCTTCATGATTACCCAATGATGAGCAGTACGTGGAGATCAATTGTAATCTAACGGTGGAAATAAAAGTTGCATGTTCAACGAGTCTTTTTGTATTCTCTCATCCTCCATTTCCCTTTATTATCCATATGATTCTTCTTCCAAACCGTATTCATACCCAACACTCAACCAAGTCACTATAGTTTCATTCTTCTTCATTTCATAGCCAATTAATGGAGGAGCCATGCCAGAATTGGTTCTCTGATATGGTAACTAACTAACCACACACATCTCCTACTCACACAATATCATATTATATATTTATATTCCACATATTCTTAAGCTTATTAATTAGAGTATATATAAATATATATATGTGTATAAGTTAATGTATATAAGATAAATTAAAGTTTAATGTGTATAGATTGGTGTTTTGATTTGAATTGCTCTATAGGAAATACAAGATGTTGATTTCCTTAATCAACACCATAAGATTGTTTCATTGGGTGATGAAGATCAGATCTTTCGAGAGATCATGCATCGGCCAGCTTTCTCTTCTGAAAGCGAAAGTCACTCTCCTACCAATCAAAATAAATCCGCAGCCGCTCTTGAAGGTGGCAACGGCTCAACCGTGGCCAAAAACAGCCGTGACAATAACTTGATGATGAAGGACAACAACAGCTCCAACAACTTCATCTTCTCTCAACATGCACTGGAGAAACCAGCCAATGCTACCTCTCCAACGGCTTATATTCTGTCCTTCGGTGACTCCACCGTAGTAGCAGCTACCCGCCACCAAACCTACGGCGGAAACCAGCCCTACCACGAGCAAGTAGGTTTCTCTGGTGGTGGCACATGTCCTCCTCCCTCTAAAGGGATCTCAGAAAAACTTGACTTAGAACCAAGGGTCAACCAAACAACAAGGAAGACTAGAAGCTCTGCAGAGACACTAGACCACATAATGGCAGAGAGAAAAAGGAGACGTGAACTCACAGAGAGGTTCATTGCACTTTCAGCCACTATACCTGGCTTGAAGAAGGTTAGTAATTGAGTGAATTAAGTCACATATATATTTTGCAATGGATTAATAAATCACATGTTAATGTGGAGTGTTTTTCACTTTGAAGTTTAATTAATTAATTTGGTTTCTGTTAACTATTCTACTTCATCAATTATTGCACTCAATATTATAAGATTTGGGTTCAATTCATGAGTCTACATATATATTGCTCAAAATAAATGTACAAAATAAACTCTATAAAGAGAAGCTACTTTATGGGAAACGCAGTTTCTTGTTAAAATGTTTTCTTTTGTTTCATTGGTGTTATCCCACGTGGAATGTCAAGTTGTTTGATTTAATGTGATTTTATATAAGACTTGAAGTTCACATTAATTTTGATGAGCAAGATCAAATTCATGGACATTTCATTAGAAGGCAAGGACCATATATATATATATTTTTAATAAAAGGTGCAAAAACAAAATAAAACTTTTAAATTTCTTATATAATATTATAATTTAAAATTGTAACTCAAAGAATGAAATGTTTTTATCAAGTCTAGATTGACAAGGCAACTATACTTAGCGAAGCAATCATTCATGTGAAACGACTTAAAGAACGTGTAAGAGAGCTAGAAGAACAAAGCAAGAAGACAAGAGTAGAGTCAGTGTCATTCATTCAGAAATCCCACCTCTCAACTGAAAATAAAGGCACCACCCTCTCTGGTGCAATGAACAGTACTGATGATTGCTATAGAACCAATGAAGCACTCCCTACAGTTGAAGCAAGAGTCTTTAAAAAGGACGTGCTCCTAAGGATTCACTGCAAGATACAAAGTGGCATTTTGCTCAAAATTTTGGCCCATCTTAAAAGTCTTGATCTCTCCACAATCAGCAACAGCGTCTTGCCATTTGGGAGTTCTACTCTTGACATCAGCATTGTTGCTCAGGTACACAACAATATAGCATTAATTAGTCTTTAAAGGAATAGTTATAATTAAGATCCAACTTATGTCTCTTAAGATTGTAGTATTGATGATTGTTAGGATTGTAGCATCATGCTACAATATTATAATGTTACAATCCTAACCATCATCAATGTTACAATCGTAACAATATCTCTTATCCACGAACAATTATGATCATCCAATCAGATCTTTTGTTAGAGAACATTATTATGATTTTGCAAACTGCTATAAGCCTTTAACTTTAATGCAGATGGGTGACAAATTCAGTGTAGCAATGGATGATCTAGTAACAAACCTTAGATTAGCCCTCTTGGAATCATCTGAAGTACAAAGTGATCCATGCTAGAGTATCAAACTATGAATTTATGCTGATCCAAAAATTCTGGAAGTTCTAGCTGCATGTCCATGAAGGTGTGATATAGCTTGGCTGTTGAATTAGGTTATTGTCATATAATTCATGAGGGAGAATCTTTACTACAGTTCATGAATGGAATGAATTACGGTTTGGTGATAGTGTCAAATTATGGCACTATCTTATACTACATTCTACAGATGATTGCTCAGTATAAGCATTGGAAGATATCTAGTTTTTCAACTTCGAAAGATTGCAAATCCCAGCAGATAGGCTTGCTCAGTTTGGTAAACTTGATGTCTTCAAGTTATTTGTGAAATAAGGAACACTTACCTGGCTTCCTTTTTTTATGTAATGGGTGCTGATGCTTTATAATTAATTAATAAAATCGGCATATTTTGATATTAAAAATAATAATGAAGTCCCTTAATTATAATTAAAGGATTTGGAAGTTTTGGAGAGTCATTTCTCTTTTGTAGTGAGTATTTGTGTGTGTGTCAATTATGTATTTTTTAACATGAATTCATTCTTATGCTTTATTGCGATATCCTAGCCTTATATTGATCAATGAAGTTTGTTTTATGAGTGTTTTTATTAATCTTGCATCCATTTATCTTTTCTAATTTTAAGTTTTAATGATAAAAGTTAATTTGAATAATTACTGTTATTGTTATAATTAACAAGTGAAGGATACATCAATGGTAATTTATTTTTAGATTTTATACTAACTTTAAAAAAGAAAATAAATGTGATTTTTTTTTGTTAAAGAACAATAAACATCGAGCGGTGTTTAATTGGATAAGGAATGATATATTTACAAACTTTTTATTTACAAACTAACTATGCTTTACCGGAAAGACACTCCTGAGTGAAGTCTTACTTGTAAGATATAGTATAGTTTGTAAGTTTGTAAAATTTTTTTTGTCAATGTAACCTTCCTCTTACTTGGATAAGTGAAATTTAAATATCTCCTGGTGTGCTAGAAAACGATTATGTTTAGGGGTATAAATGAGTCAGGTTATGCCGGACTTTAGTCTAAATGGGTTAGGTATATGTAAAATATTTCAAATTTGACTTTAGTTGTTAACTTTATACAAGTCAAATTATAGGTTTAGTAAGTGCATATATATATAGTAACATTTTTGTTAGAGAAGTATATATAAAACCATTAAAGTAGCCTCACCTAACAGCTTAAGCTTTTAGGTTGAAATGATTTTTGACATGGTATCAGAGCTGGAGTGACCAGGAGGTCATGAATTTGATTCTCGCCGCTCTTCACTTTCAGGTGGAATTAAGAAAAGCACAAGATATATCAAAAAATGGGTTTGTGTCATACATATTCACGTTTCAAATCCAAAGAGCTCTTGCGTGAGTGGGTGTGTTAGAGAGATACAAAATAATTAATTAAGTTTCACCCAATGCCTTAAGATTTTGGGTTGAAGTGACGCGTAACATGGTATCAGAGCCTCGAATCACGGATTCGATCCTCACTGGCCCCCATTTAGTTAATAATTAATTAAGTCTTGTTGAGTTTCTTAGCACATGTGGATAAGTCTGTGCTGTCCACCCTTCAAGCTAAGTGAACTCTCGTGTGTGAGAGGACGTGTTAGAGAAGTATAAAACCATTAAGTAGCCTCACCTCGAGTTGAAATGATTCTTTACAATTTTAAAACATTATCATAATTAATTTGAATGCAAAAGGTGAAGAGATAGAGGACGAATTAATATGCGTGTAATTGGAATAAAAGCCATATCCGACTAGACTATGTTTGTGCCATAATATGGAGTGGTAACCATATGGTGTCATATCGGTGGATGCACAATTGTCAGGATAACCATATGGTGTCAGATGGTTCAAGAAATTGAGAAGCTGCGAAACCCCACAGTTGGTTTTAGGGTTTTTTGATAGGGCTTTTTCTGTAATCGACATACTTTTTCATCCTCCAAATTAATAAGGGCAGGATATAATGCAACTCCAGTAATGTAGGCAACTGAAGAAAGGCTATTACAACTTTATCATATTGAAGAGGGTTGGTATACCTAGTCAAAGTTTTCGCTCATATTATCCTTGAGTTTAATTTTCCGATAACTTTTGATTAGTAGTGTTTTCTTGAATTTATTTACTCGAACTCTCGTAACTTTGCTAATTAGGATCGACTCGAATGGAATCCTTTGAGATCGTGCCCTTATTTGCTTCAAGAACTAAGAATTTCCTAATTCATAACCAATGTTATAATTATCTTTAATTGGTGAATTTTGGAACCAAAAGGGTAGAATTAGAAGTCTTTGAAATATTACATAGCTCTTGATATCACTTTGAAGGAAATGGTAGAGAAGGGAACACTCAAACTTTAATAGAAACTTACTCAATTTGATATTCTTGGTTTACTTGAATTTTCTTGGCTTACATAAAATGCGCAGATGCGAAACTATTTATAAGTAAACATGACAATTTTGTTGATGAACTTAATCCCAAAATATTCAATGTATGATGTATCTATATCTAATCTTCATTCAAGAGGTAACTATTTATATAGGAGTTAGAGTAAACTTGGGATGGGTTTTAGAGTCGAATAGAAAAATATTTTATAAAATCTCAAGAAATCATATAGCAGAAACAATCTGCACTCCTAGCTATTCGTGGTCGGTGATTTAAATAGCAAATTAGCTTGAGCTCAGAAATTAAAGTTGTTCTATAAAGTTAGGAATTTGAGCGTGTGGGATCCCAACTTTGTTTTGCTTCTTTGCGCTGCGTCCTTGGATTCAGAACGTGGCCCAGTAGTGTTTCTTATGCAGCTTGAATGTGGCAAGCCAACAAGCCTACACCTGATGGATTGGACCATATAGACCTGGCTAGCTTTCTTGTTCTTTTCTTATGTGGACTTGAGGTTCATTCGGATGGGAGCCCAACCAAGTTTAGGTTTTTACAATGACATTGCCACATTGGTATTGCCAAGTCAAGTTTACGTGCTATATCTCTTGTGCAAGAATGATTATAGAAAGAAAAAACAAATCATTTAATCATGGGAATTGTTTAAGAGAAAAATTTTTTATGTCATTTTAGATTCTAACCGTTGATTTTCATCAATCAACGGTTAAAATTTATTAAATTTTATCGCGAATTATTAATTAATCAATAATGCAATAGAGTTATCCTAATTAACATTGTTTAAGACATAGAATAGCCCGATATTATCGGAAAAATATGTAATACAAATACTATTATCATACAAAATATACATATATTTTAAATGTTTTCTTTATGGCTTTAATGTTTCTAAAGTGAATGTAGATAAGTTATCTACATTCGCTCTCAAAATGACGTCGTTTTGAATTGAAAAATTAAAAAACTGTAATAAAAAAGACTATTATAACTCTGAAATAAATTATAATTACAAAAATACCTTGATTTCCGCCTCAAAACGACATCGTTTTGGGCTCACTGTAGATAAGTTATCTACATTGACTGTAGAAAAAGCGAACTCTTTCTTTATTATTTAAAATAAAATTATCTTCTAAAGTCTCAAAATTAGAGATATAAATGAGTTAGGTTATATTAGACATTGAATAAGCCAGGCCCATATAAAGTTTTTTTGAACTAAATTAGCCCATTACTTTGTATATATTAAATTATAGGCCCGATCAGCTTTATATTTAAAAATAACCTAGGCTTACTAACCTATTTAAACATATCAAATATTTAATTCCCATCAAGAATTCAAAAAAATAAAATAAATAATAATATTATTTTATCATTTAAATAATTATTTAATATCATTTTAATTAAAATATATGATATGATATAAGCCTATGCATAAACTAGATCTTGTAAAAATAAGTTTACAACCTTTTTTTAAGACACGTACTGTTTTATTAAATATATTAAGTCACGTCAAATTTAAAGTAGACTGAAATATAGGCCCCTTATATATTTGCATCCATACTCAAAATGATATTATTGTGGATTATTATTAGAGAAACTTTTATCATACCAATATATATATATATATATATATGGAAAAATGATTTGTCATGTAAACGGATATAAGATTTTGTATAGTCACACATTTTTTTAATATGTACTACGGGTAATATATACATAGTTATAATATTAAAATTATTTTTTTAACTACGTACTACGGGTAGAACATAGTTATAATATTATGTACTACCCGTAGTATATAATTAAAAATGTGTGATTGAACAAAACCTTGTATCAAATGACATGACATCCACTTAACCCTATATATATATATATATATATATATATATGGGGTTTACATTTTTGCAGTTGTTGTACGTGAATCAATCAAATACTTGCCATATATATTTTTGAAAGCATTAAATGTGGAGAATCATAACCATACAAAGGATGAAAGCATTAAATGTGGAGAATCATAATCATACACCTGTCGTTGTTGTACATAAAGCGGCTGCAGAAATGATTTTATATATACATATATAGAAAAAAAGTATCTAATGTTACTTTGAACAGTTTTCACTTAAACGACGTCGTTTTGGGTCAAAAAAAATTTAAAAAATTAGAATGATAAATATTATTATATCTCTAAAATAAATTAAAATTGTAAATACACCATGATTTTCGCCACAAAACGATATTGTTTTGGTGAAATTAGAAAACATTGTCTAAAGAAATTTTAGAAAAAATAAACTTATATATATATATATATATATATATATATATATATATATATATATTGTAAGAGGGAGTATATTTCTCATATTATATGAAATAATTTTATCTCAAACAATAAATAAAAAATTAGGTGAAACCCATCTAAAAAAAATAGAAAAAAATAAAAGTAAATCTTTGTTACTTTTAATATGTGCATCAAATAAAATTATATCTTAAACTTATTTCGCATATATAATATTCTTATTCTCATTTTTTTTGGCCCGCACTCCCTCTATGTGCTTTGTTTCCAACCACAGCAGAAGCCTCAGACCTTGCAGAGTCAGGCCCATATGCTAGATAGAGACATTAATTATGAGAGAGGCCGCATTTATTGACGTGTTTGTCATTAGAATCAGTTTCTGATTTTTATTTCAATTTATAACCACTCCACCGTTTTGAGCTCAACTACTTTTGGGAATCTGCAAATTATCCAATTTTTATTTAATATTTTGAACTATCATTAATTTTATAAAATTATTGTGTATCCTCTGATGAGTTCTCTTAATTAATTATAATAAATATCAGTATTTTTTGGTATTTAAAATATTACACTTTTAATTATTAAATAACACTTTTTTTTTGTTAGAATGTGTAGTTTCAGTTTGGTATTTTAATCATGAACAAAAAGTATCTAATGTCACTTTAGATAACTTTATCTAATGTTCATCAAAACGACGTCGTTTTGAAGTTGAAAAATTAAAAAATTAGAATGATAAAGACTATTATAATCTTGAAATAAATTAAAATTACAAAAACACTATGATTTCCGTCCCAAAACGACGTCGTTTTGATGAACATTAGATAAAGTTATCGAAAATAACTTTAGAAAACACAAACTCTTTAATCATAAATAACATCGATGGTAGATAAAGCAGACACTTCGCTGCCAGGGTTTTTTTTTTTAAATATTAAGGGGACGTTTGGTAGAGGAGAAATTTTTTTTTGCCCGAGAATCTTGATTTTTAAAAATATGATTTTTACATTACGATAATATCCAAAAATTTAAAATTTAAAAAATCAGTTTTCCGAAAATTCTAACAAAAGTAACGTACCAAACTACCCCTTAAAGATCAGGCCGGGACTTTCATTTTCCTTATATAGCCAAGAAAACTTTTACAGTTGCAATCAATATAAGAAATGTTATTAAATTGGAGAGGGAAATTAACCATCAACAGGTCTGAAAGAGATGAAGTGATGTTAAATCGAGTTCGATTAGTACTAGATTGTTATCTATTTTCGAAATTTTTGTACCTATTGTATTCGTTCGCTTATTTTATTTTTATCATAGTTGTTAAAATCTCGATTTATCATTATGATTTTACGTTTTTATAATTTTTTTCATCAAAATGATCTTACCAATATTTCAAATGTTTTTACGTTTTTTACATTAGTATTTTACATTTTACGATTTTTTAATCTTTTCCAATTTTACTTAAAATCTCAATTTTAACAATATTGATTTTTATATATTCTTATATACAAATTCAAATGATTTAATTAGCAACATACGAGTTAAATAATCAGTAATCCAGTGATTTAATACTTCGACCTAATCATGGAATAATAAAACAATAAAAGTGGTGTGTTCAATGTGATAACTGAAATAGAATTTGGAAAGACATGGAGATACAATAGTCATTTGCCCATGGTCAATTAGTGGGGACTAGGGGTGGCAATTTGTGACACGACCCGCGAACCCGACCCGGACCCGACACGAAATTTTCGTGTATGGGTCAACCCGTTTAATAAATGGGTCGTGTTTGGGTTGGAAAAAATTAACACGAAAAAAATTATGTCGGGTCACGGGTCAACCCGTGAACTCGCTTTGACCCGTGAAAGGTCTGGTTCAATTTAAAGTTATTTTTTTAATAAAGAATTATTAAAAACGCCTTAGGGTTTCCGTCGAAGTATAAAAGGAAAGAAAAAAACGCCTTAGGGTTCCATTTAACGCGCAGCTCTCGCCTCTCTGCCCCGTCTCTTTGGTCTCGCCTCTCTCTCGCCTCCAGCGCAACGTCTTCTTGTTCGAACAAGGAATCAAACAAATCTGGTATGCATTTGTCACGGGTTTGAGCTTGAACCTTGTATTTTTTTAACACTTTGCACTAGAACTACTGCCACTAGCACTAGATCTCTTTGTGCATTATTGTCAGCATGTGTTTTACGACCAGAGTGATCAGCTTTCTCATCACCAGAACTACTGCCACTAGCACTAGATCTCTCACTTTCTTTATCACTTGAACCATCTGAGCTCCTGAAAAAGGGAAAGTAATTCAATTGAAGAAGATATCAGGCAAATTCTTACTGAGGCAGAAGCACTATAGGAAAAGGGGCCATGCTAAAGGCCAGTTGTAATCAGACCATCTGGACTTGGGTCTTGATCTTCTGCTTCTACCGTGCTGGCTTTTCCTTCTCTGCTTACGTCCAATTCTCCTCTTCTTCCCATGCTTGCGCTTATTTCTCTTCCTCTTCCTGTGTTTCCCATAACTAGAGGAACTTGAATCAGAATCCGATTCAGAATCCGAAGCTGAATCTGACTCAGAATCTGAGGAATAATTATCACTACCACTATCACTATCAGATGTTGAGTATCTCCTCCTTTTCTTCCTTGTGTCTTTGGAAGATTTTTTTCTCTTTACCCTTGATTTTTTGTCAGAACTATCATCAGAAGTTAGGGATTTCCCTGATTTTCTCCTTTTCACTAAAATGAGATACAGTTTATATATTAAAAACAAATGCACTTAGCAGCATATAGAAGTAACAAGGTTTATAATATATTTGTCAATGTCTATCCTTATCACAAGTACCTTTCTCCTTCTCGACTGTGAGCTGAATTTTTGTTTCAGACATTTCACCACAATCAATAATTTTAACTAGTTGGGTAGGTTTCCCATCAGATGTTCCCGCCTGCTCAATTTTCTTCAGAGTGTCCATTCCCTTGACAACTTTACCAAAAACAACATGCTTCCTGCAACATCATGCAGAAGACTTCACTGAACAAACCTCACCACTTAAAAAAGAAAATATTATCAACATAACAAGCCCAAACTTTCCATGTTTTGCATTGCAATTTGAGTTTGAAATGTTAAATCAAAATCGGTATACTCGTTTTCAACCACCTGTTGAGCTTGATATGTTGAACACTTTACAGGTACCTTTTTCCAGTCGCGGGTTTCTAAGGAACAGCCCTGCTTCTGCTGGTTTGCGTCGAAACCCCTTCTTTTTCTTTTTCTTTTTCTTTTTAGTATGTAAAAATAGTTGCTGGTATGTTTATATGTCTGTTTATCTAATAATATGCTATGGTGTGGGGTTTGATAGCAGTAAGAAAATTGACTTGGGTGATTGTTTTATTCACTGAGTTCTTAAAAGTTCAACTTTCACTAATAGAGGAAGTATAAAAAACTAAAGTGTTTCACTGTTTATTCGTTTTATTTAGTTTGGTTTATTTAAGTATCTATTGTGTGTATATATTAATATTGTTCTCTTGCGTTTTTTGTTAGCGGGTTTTTTGTTTAAAGGAATGGTAGATAAATCAGGCTGAGACATAAAAGATAGATGTTAGTTAAGCATTTTTTGTTTTATATGTCTTGAAATTGAAATTCTCACTGTTGACTAAAGGGTGTATTAATCTAAGTCAAAACATTAATGTGGCTTAGGAACTATGAAAATTCTAAATATCTTCTTAATGTGAAGATCGAATTATAGTGAGCATGAAAATAGTTTTTCTTTAGACTTTAGTTGTCCTGTGATCTGATTACTTGGACGAGGAATATGTGAGATAAATAAGCAATGTTAGACCCCTATTGATGGCATAAACCGAGCTTGTCAATGTAGTCTACATTGAGCAGCTTGGTCACGATTAGGTGATCAATGAAGTGAAATTAAAGCAGAAAACTTTTGGTCTTGAAAGCATAAGAAACTGATTAGAGTATAGAAGTGGAAGAATGGGAATTTCTTACAAACATGTCAGTAGTTCTTAATTTTTTGGTCTTCGCTGCAAGTTTCCATAATCCTGGTTCCATAAATTACTTGCTATAGTTGGCAGTAGTTCTTACAAACATGTCTTTTTTTTAGAGACTTGGCAATCTGCATTAGCACTTGGACATTTCCTATTGCATTGCCATGTATTTTTAAAGTTGATATTGCTTACACTAGTCTTTGGAACTGCATTGGAATAGTTTGTGCATGAAACTTTTTAACTTTGTGATCATATATAATATATGTAAATTCTGAGTTTTGCTTTCTCATTTATATAATAGATATTCTAACTTCTCCTTTTTACATGTAGATGGACTTTGAATCACACAACAACAGTGGAGAGAATATGATGGATCACGAGGTTGATGTTCAAGATGCAAATGTTGAGGGTGATAATACAGCTGGGTCAACAGGCACAAAGGCGCCAACAAAGAAACCGAGAAAGTTAGTATCCAAGGTTTGGCAACACTTCGAGCGCATTCCAATAAATAAGGATGGATGTAAAATTCAAGCCAAATGTAAGTATTGTGATCAATTATACATGGCTGATAGTAAATATGGCACTGGTAATTTAAAGCGACATTTGGATGGATGTGTGAGAAGAGATACTAGGGATGTTGGGCAGATGATGCTTTCAACTCAAAATAGCTCCTTCAGTTTAGAGCCTAAATTTGACCATGAGAAATTTAGGGAGTTATTGATAGCTGCCATTATTATGCATGATTTGCCATTTCAATTTACTGAATGGCAAGGCATTAGAACTCTTCTTCTATATTTGCGTGCGGATTTGAATATTATAACTAGAAACACAGTGAAGGCTGATTGTGTTAAGTTGCATAAAAGGGAGAAAGATAGATGCTTGAATATGTTAAAGGAGAATACCAGCAGAGTTAGTTTAACATCTGATTTATGGACTTCTTTAAACACTGATGGATTTATATGTTTGACTGCACATTTTGTTGACAAGAGTTGGCATCTGCATAAAAGAGTTCTAAATTTTGGGTTTATGCCACCTCCACATACTGGAATCTCATTGGCTGAAAAAATTCACACCTTTTTGAAGGATTGGGGGTTAGATGGGAATTTTTTTTCAATTACATTGGATAATGCTTCTGCAAATGATGTTTGTGTTCAATTTTTGAGAGATCAACTGTTGATTGGAGGTGGACTTTTATGCAATGGTGAGTTTTTTCATGTGAGATGTTGTGCTCACATATTAAATTTGATAGTTCAAGAAGGATTGAAAGAGGTTGATGCATCTATTGTGAAAGTTAGGGAAAGTGTTAAGTATGTGAAGGGGTCACAAGCAAGGAAACAAAAATTTTTGCAGTGTGTTGCTCAAAGTTCTCTTGCATCTAGAAGAGGTTGTAGGCAAGATGTTCCAACAAGATGGAATTCTACTTTTCTCATGCTTGATAGTGCACTCTTCTATAAACGTGCCTTCATGCACCTTGAGTTAAGTGATTCCAACTACAAATATTGTCCATCTAGAGATGAATGGGATAGGATAGAAAAGATCAATGAGTTCTTGCATGTATTTTATGATATTACTTGCGTCTTCTCTAAAACCAAGCATCCAACTGCAAATCTTTACTTTCCTTATATTTTTACTGCACATCTGACATTACAAAAAGGATTGAAAAGTGATGATGCTTATATTGTGAATATGGCTGAAAAGATGTTCACTAAATTTGACAAATATTGGTCTGAATTTAGTATGATTTTAGCCATAGCTGTCATTTTGGATCCTAGATATAAGATGAGTTTTGTTGAATGGTGCTACAATAAGTTGTATGGTGATGATGGGGTGAACGAATCCACAAAGGTGAAAGACAAATTGGTTTCCTTGTTTAATGAGTATGCAAATGATGGAATCAGAAACTATTCATCTATTTCTTCAACAAGGAGGGCTACAGATGGTGGGAGTGAGACAATTGATGAAACCTCAATTTCTACTACATCTCGAGATGTTTTGAGTGTAAGTTAACATAATTATTTGTCTTGTAATTGTTTATATTCTTTTGTATATTTATTGATATTATTTATTTTATAATATTGTTAGGAATTTGATACTTTTCATGAAGTGGTTGTGCCACAAAAGACTCAGCTTGAATTATATTTAGAGGATCCAAGGATTGACAGAAGAAATATTAGCTTGGATGTGTTATCATATTGGAAGGCTAATCAATTTAGGTATCCAGAAGTTGCTGCAATGGCAAGAGATATTTTTGGGATACCTATTTCTAGTGTTGCTTCGGAAAGTGCTTTTAGTGTTGGAGGAAGAGTACTTGATCAATACCGAAGTTCACTCAAACCTGACATAGTTGAAGCATTGATTTGCACTAGAGATTGGTTATATGGAGAGCAAGGTAATATACATTATCAATCACTTATTCATTAACTATTTATTTTAAGGATTTTAATTAACTCATTTGATTTTTATTTTTATAGAGCAATCAGCAATAGCTTTGGAAGAATTGACAGAAGATATCATGGACATGAATCTACATTCAATAGCTGATCATGGCGCTCAAAATTACTCTGTTGCTTAATGACTTTTATATTTCAAATTTTTCATCAGTTAAATGATCTTGAATTTGTGATCTTAATTTGTATTTCGGTGGAAGAAATTGTTGTAAGAATAAGACATTTGTTGTAGGTTGCATTTAATTATGTTTTGATGTTGGATTGATGGAGTTCAATGTAGTAAGTTATTTTGATTTGAATTAGATTGAACAGTTTTAATATGATTTGAATTAATATCACTTTCTGTTTACTCGTGTCGGGTCGGATCGTGTCGGGTCATGTCGTGTCAGGTTGTATCGTGTAAAATACAGATTGCCCTCAAATTCGGGTTATATCGTGTCAACCCGTTTATATATGGGTCGTGTACGGGTTGAATTTTATAACACGATTTGTTAATCGTGTCGTGTTCGGGTTGAGGCTATTCGTGTTCGTGTCAGACACAAGTCGACCCGAACCCGACCCATAAACACGAATTGCCACCCCTAGTGGGGACGGACATAACTTGATTCATCGTGAAGTTAAATAATTTGATTATTTAACCTAACAAACATAAACTTTCCCACTTATTCACCTTTAATTCTCATAATGTCAAGTCCATTTTGGGTCTCATTGATATTAATCAATCAATCCCAACAATGCCTAGCTAGTCCAATTTCTGCTCTATTATTATAATTGGCGGAGCAAATATGTCTCTGATGATTATGTAAATGCGAAGTGTAAATACGGATGTTATTATGATCAACACAAAAACCCAACTAAAATCAAAAGAAGAAACGAATTCAAGACTTCCAATTCCAAACACAACAACTTGTTATTTGATACACTAGTACGGATCACTGTCGCAGGACATTGGTGACTTCAAGAGCATTTGTCTAAGGTTTTTTACTAGATCATTCACTGTCATCTTGTACTCCTCACCCATCTGCAATGTATATATATATAAATATATTAATTGGTATATCAATTCAACATTTCAAGTTTTCATGCATATATATATAGAACATGAAACTCTATATTGATGATGCATATATATAATATACCTGAGTGATAATAGTCATGTAAAGAGAGAAATTCCCAAATGGCAAGGCATTGCTACCGGTGACACAGAGATCAAGATTTTCAAGGTGGTCCAGTATTTTGAGCTCAATGCCATTTTCTTTCTCACAGTGAATCTCAATGAGCACCTCCTTCCCCAAGATTCTTGCTTCAATCTCAGGGAGGATGTTACAATAATCAGAAGTACTTGTTTCACTGTAGTTGTTGTTGTCTTCATTTCCTCGTATATCGGGTTTCTTGATGAATATCACTGACTCTACACCCCTCTTATTATTGTCTTGTATTTCTAGTTCCTCTACACGTTCTTGAAGTTGTTTCACATAATCAATAGCTGCTCGAAGCACAGAAGCCTTGTCCGTCTACACATGTAAAATCCAGCGGGTTCAAGTTTATTTTTTCAATTTTTGATTTTAATAGAGCCACGTGTTTTTTGCTGACTGGTCTATTAGAATATCATACTCTGTTAAAGAATAAAATAAAAAGTATTAAAAAAGCCTTCGCCTAATAGTTTAGGGGCCGTTTGGTTCGAGTTTTCTTATGATAACCCCTGGCAATACAAATTGAAATTTCATGAAGCCAACGTTTGGTCCAACGTTTTTAAAGACTTCAATAACTTTAATCAATTTGTGTGGTAATATTTTGTTCAACCAAATAATTTTTTTTTAACTTTTCTACCTAACTCATTTTTCCTGTTAATCCCTATTAATTCCATTTCTCTAGTAAAAAAAATTCACCTGAACCAAACGTCCCCTTAAGGTTTTGAGTTGAGATGGTTCTTAATATGATATCAGAGCTTCAGTGACCATGAATTCACGAATTCGATCCTCAACGCCCCCTCACTTTCATGTAGAATCAAGAAAAGCACAAGATAGACCCAAGAAATAAACTTGTGTCATATCCACGCTTTAAGCCTAAAAGACTTTACGTGAGGTGTTAAAGAATAAAATAAAAAATATTAAAAAAGCTATTACCTAATATTCTAAAATTTTGGGTTAAAGTGATTCATAACATATACTCGTACATAAACCGACACACTCTCTTCAAACAAACCCAACAGATGTTATGAAATGATAGAGTTCTATGCGCAATAATAGATGGTGGGACACGCGCTGATTGTGAATTAATGGAGGGTCAGTGATACATGTTTTTTTTTTTTTTTTTTAATACAAAGTGATACATATGCTTTTTAAAATAATGGGAAAAAAAACTTTAACTTTTGATCCTTATTTGTAAAGGTTATGATTTGATGTTTAAATTAGTAAAATAAGTATGCTACAATTACTAAATAACACGTGGATGGTAGAATTGATGGTAAAGATTACACTAATACAGAATAACCAAATAACCAGTAACCACCGCTGCTTCTAACATATATAATATACTGATGTACAACATAAATAAAACAATATAATAAAAGATCTTATCACAGTAATGTTGAGATATATAGTTCCACGTTGATTGTATGTGTAATTAATGTAGAGTTTATAAGGCCTTGAGCACTCCCACCCTTTGAGCTAGCTTTTGGGGTGGTGTATCCCAAGGTTCTTTATATGGTATCAGAGCCTCGCCGCCCCCCACTTTCTCTTGTGGCGTATCTTAACACAGGTAGGCTGGGCCTGTTGCACTGTCCACTCTTCTAGCCCAATGGGCTCTCGTGTGAGGGGGCGTGTTGAGATATATAGTTCCACATTGGTTGTATGTACAACTAATGTGGAGTTTACAAGGCCTTGGGCACTCCCAGCCTTTAAGCTAATTTTTGGGTGGTGTATCCCAAGGTTCTTTACAAAAATAATTCAGTTTAAAATTAAGATTTTATGTTTTAGCATATACTATTTTATTATTAATTGACAAATTAAAGACTCCGCCATCAACAAACATCAAATTGAGTTAACAAATTACCTTGTTCAAGCTGGGAATTGTAGCTGAAAGTGCTATGAACCTCTCTGTGAGTTCCTGTCTCCTTTTTCTCTCTGCCATTATGTGATCGGTAGTCTGAGAAGAGCTTCTAGCTCTCTTTATTGCTCCTTGTTTTGGTTCAGGTTTTTGGCTTTTGAGGGTCCGTTTTGAGGGCAAAGTTGTTCCCTCAGTGCCCAATAATTGGTTATTATTGAAGCAAGGTTCAGGGGTAGATGGTGTCATTGTTGAGTTATCAAAAGATAAAATGTATGTCCTTGGAGACAACGAGCGACGAGGCCTTTTGGAACCTTGTTGAGACACTATAATGGAGTTGGAGCTGTTACTTTTGACCATGTTCCCATGAGGAGGGGATATAACACCGCCGTCTGCGGCTGCAACGACCACCGTGGGGATATCGGAATTATTTTGGACAATATTGGATGAATCATGAAAGGAGTTATCACTTTCACTTTCAGATGATAAAGCTGCTGGCTGCTGAAGGATGATGTCTTTGAAGAATTCATCATCTTCAGGGTGACACTCTTCAAAGAAATCGTCGTGACAATCCATTTCCTACAAAAAAAAAAAAAAAAAAAAACTATGATATAATATTATAGTGTGACACATTCAAACATGTTGTGAGATTTGAGTACTACAATAAGTTTTACCATATGAAGATCCCAATTCTCCCATGACTCTTCCATTTAGAATTTAGGAAATGTTGTTTGTTCTATGATTTTTCATTGTGGAATTCCGATGCGGGTATGATAATAATAAGAGGCTAATTAGTGTAGCTTGGGGTAGGTGTGTCCCATATTTTAGGTAGGGGATGGAGACAGGAAATTACTCGTTTTTCATGCTACTTTAATTTTCAGCCGTTCAATCACACTGAATTTGTTTTCTTGACGAACGATATGATATTATGTGGGACCATACAGGTGATGGTGGTGGAGGCCTTCCCACTCAAGAAGAGAAAAGCTGAGTTCAAACACGCTGGCTGTGCTCTCAGATATAAATAAAGAGGGAAGATATTCTTATTACCAAAATCTTTTACTATTAACTTATCACTTATCTAATCACCATTGAATCAAAGAAAGAGAATACTAAAAAGTTTTTGAAAAAAGAAAAAATATTAATCCAATGGTGATTAGATAGGTAATGAGTTAGTAGTAAAAAAATTTAGTAGTAAAAAAATTTAGTAGTAAGAATATCCCTTCCCATAAATAAAATCCAATAATTTTGGCATTATTAACTTTTGAGAAAAACAACTATCGTTTAAAAGGACACAAGTTGTGTATGACCGGTTATACTTTGTGTAAATTATGAAAGTTACTTTTTTTCTCTCTCCTCAGTCACATCGCTGACGTGTAAAATAAAAAAAGTAATTTTTCAGAATTACACAGAATATGACCAGTCATACTCTGTGTAAGTCACTAAAAAAACACAACTTGTGTCCTTTTAAATGACAGATGCTGAAACCTCTAAGATAGACAGAGAAAAAAACTAAGAGAAAGAGTAGAAATCAATGAAAGAGAAAAATAGGGATGGTGGCCCACTTAAAATTTCTCTATATGGCAGATAGTATTTCTTTGCCTAAAGACAGATATGTTATCCCCTTAATTTAACGGGTTTTATGTTTATCATATGATATGATATAATATCACTTTTCTACACACAGATTAAAAAAGTGAGGTTCATATATTTTTCTTTCTCTTTCATCATTTCACTTTCTTTCTCTATTTTTTTTTGTGTATTGAAAACAACATTTAAATCATGTAACATAACACTAATAAAACTCTAATTTAATAGTATAAATGTTAATTATAGAAGACTTGATAAAATTTTAATATTATATAAGAGTAAGAATGAAAATCGTGCAAATCGTGCAGTCGGACTCGGAGGGACCACTTTTATCTCTTTGGAGGAGTGTCGTCATGGCATCATCAAGTTGTGCAATTATTGTGGAGATCGTATACTGCTTTCGTCTTTCGTCAATGAATTGATCGTCAGGGTGTTTGGTATAAGAATTTTTTGTTTGGTATAAGAATTTTTATTTATCAGGAACAAAAATTTGTTCAGGAAGAATTTTTTGCAAGATAAGTTAAAAAGATATTTGGTAGGTTAAAATTTTTCTAAAAAAATTGGATGAATTTTAGTGATGTTATGTGTAAAATTTTACCACTACAAAAGTAAATTTTTTTCCATCCCATCCATGGTAAAATTTTACTCTTGGTCTATGTGTAAAATAATTAGATGGGAAAAAATTGTGTCAACCCCTTTTAACTTTTCCTCCTACCAAAGATGACCATATATTTTTACTTACCTTCTTCTTCGTGTCAATTTTTTTTCTCTCCTACCAAACACTCCCTTAAGATAGTGTTTGGTATGCAGATTATTTATGGATGCCCCGGAAAGCATGGTAGGAAAAACAAAAAACCCACGTTTGGTTGCCCAAAAAGTTAAAATCTTCTTAGAAATTTTTTTTTTCCAGATTTCTTGATTATGTGCAAAGTGAAGTACGAACACCATTGTTCAAACTCCTTGGTTTAGTTGGAAAAAATGATTGCCCGGGGAAGTAAGAAAAAACAACTATTAGGTGGACGACATTAACCCTGTGCTTTGTACTATCGATGAAGTTGTGTTCGCAAATATCTGGTAACAAAACCTAACCTACGGCAGCTGCTCCCTCCTTCAACGCTTCTGGGTTACCTTCGTTTTCCATGGCTTGCATGTGCATCTTTTATGGTACCGGTCGGTGGAGCATTTTGCATGTTAATGGATCCATATTTTAAAGACACAAACTTTCCATTTTGTGTTCCCTTCCATTTCATCATTAGTTTTGGGGTTCTCGTATTTTAAAAAGCCATCTACAATGAAAGCAGCTGATGAGAGAGAGATGGATGGATAACAATACAAAAAAGAAAGAGATGAGGGGAAAGTAACACACCCAGAGAAGAACTAATCTAAAAATCGATTTGAAAGAGAGAGACAGTTCTGATTGTTCAAAATGTATAATTGTAAAATAACCTTATATTTCCACTAATATTTCATAATCAACCAAACACAAATTCAGTAAAATTAACCAAATATTCTCAGGAAAATGTGAGCCTACCAAACACTTTTTTAGTAACATTCCAGTAAAAACTATTTTCCACTATATTTTCGGAATTCATGATTCCCGGATAAAAAAAAAAATTCTCTACCAAACATCTCCTTAGTTCCTTTTTAATAATCGAACATATGCTTTTTTTAATAATCAATGAATTTTATTGTATATAAAAATGAATAGGATATTCTATCTATTATTTTTTGCTTATTTTTGTTTATTACTTTTTAACATCATTAGATCAGAATCTTAATAGAAGAGAAAAATAATCAAGCTAATTGAGATTTTGATCTAACAATATTAAAAAATGATAGGAAAATATAAACATAAAGAAAGTAAATAGAATAACATATGGAATATCAGCGTAATTAACTATAAGTAGAAGTAAAAAGTCTTTGAGTTTTTATATATGTAATTTTTGGTTTAATATAAAATTTATGTATAAAAATTCTTTTTTGTGTGTGTGTTTGGAGAATTCAAAAAATTATTACTCTATCTATCAGATGAAGGAATATCGTGAAGAAAAAAATAACAATAGTATTTTATGTATGAGTAAAGAATTTCTTCAGTCACCGGAGATAAAGTTATCTCCAGTGAACTCAAAATGACGTCGTTTTGGGTGAAAATCAATATGTTTTTGTAATTATAATATATTGCAGGGTTATATTAGTCTTTGTTATTATAATTTTTTAATCTTATAACTCAAAACGACGTCGTTTTAAGATCATTGGACATAACTTTATTTCCGATGACCGGAGAAATACTTTTTCGTATTGTTGAATTTAAATGCGACTTTAAAAGTTATTTACGGATAATTATAAGAGGAAAAAGGACAAATATGACATAAACGTAATTAACCATCACGACGAAACATTATGGAAAAAATAATAATACCAATAGTACATTAAGTATTGCTCGGTTTGTATGCGATTTCAAAATTTATTCATGATAATTATAAGAGGACTAACAACAAATACGACACAAACGAAACCATCATCGCATCAAATGATTATTTATATCATTGCATCATTTTATATTAGTATAAATTATATTTTCAATCTTAATTATTGATTTCACTTATATTTAACTGTTTATGTTATGGATAAATTAAAATCATTAAATACAAGTGGATAAAATTTAATATAATTTTCTATTAAATTTTTTTATTTTTATACTGCTATGAATTTTAAATATGAATTTTATAATACATATAATTTCAACCCTAAAAAATTCTGACTCGTCAATATATATATATATATATATATATATATATATATATATAGGTAGGATCATCTTACACTAGTGTAAGAATAATAAATCTTACACCAGATCTTAACCATTGATTTACATGCATCTAACAGTTAAGATTTATTGTGTCTCATTAATTAATTAATTATTAATTCTCAATAAATTTTAACCGTTAGATGTATGGAAATCAACGGTTAAAATTTGGTGTAAGAATTAATTTTCTTACACGGTGTAAGCTGATCCTATCATATATATATATATATATATAGGGACAAGGTATTTTTATACCGGTGTAAGAGTTAGAAATCTTACACTCAATCTTGACTATTGATCCACTTGTATAAAATGGTTCACATTACTAAAAAATTTGAGCCCTTAGATATAAGTGGGATCAACGGACAAAATTAAGAGTATAACTTACACTGGTGTAAAATGATCCTGACCCATATATATGTGTGTGTGTGGCAGGATCTTCTTACACCGATTTAAGAGTAATAACTCTTACACTCAATCTTAACCGTTGATTTTCACATATCTAATAGTTATAATTAATAATTAATTAATGAGTATAATGTAATTAATTACAGCCATTTGATGAATGAAAATCAACGGTTATTACTCTTACACTGGTGTAAGATTATATATATATATATATATATATATATATATATATATATATATATATATATATATATATATATATATATAAAAGGGTGATATTAATTAATTTAATTATCATTAGATGTGTTTAACTATCATTTTAGGTTTTTTGACCCTTATAACCCTTTATTAATAATTAATTATCAAATTGACCTTCATTATAAACTATTTCGAAAATTTAACCCCCTCGAAAAACATAACACCAATATGCCCATGTTTAACCGTGGACCACCAAGCCTACCCGGGTACACTCCTCCCTACCCGGGTATTTTTTGAAATTTTGTGCCTACCCGGGTAAGGAGGGGTGTACCCGGGTAGGCACAAAATTTCAAAAAATACCCGGGTAGGGATGGGTGTACCCGGGTAGGCTTGGTGGTCAACGGTCAAACAGGGGGGCAGATTGGTGTTATGTTTTTTGAGGGGGTTAAATTTTTGAAATAGTTAAAAATAAAGGCCAATTTGGTAATTAATTGTTAATAAAAAGTTATAAGGGTCAAAAAGCCATCATTTTAAATCACCAGAGACTCATATTTCATATACCTCAGAGAGAGTTACTATCACATTTGAGGATATAATTATGATTATTGATCTTTCTACATATGGTTTACCTGTCATCAATAATGTCAAGGCGCGAGATCTCATACATATGGTACATCAACTGCTTAGGAGGACAAAGACTACAACCAAGTTGAAGGATGCCCCTTTTAGGACTTCTTG